TTTACCCATTGGCATGATTATCATATTTTTCCTGAAATTATTGCTTTTATGCTAGCTTCAAAGTCTTTGAAACTTCAAAAGTATAAGTAGAACCAGTGAGCTTTAGGTGACTTCTAAATCTGCATCTGACTTACCTTACTTTAGATGTCCAAAGAAGCATAATTTTAAAATTTTTATTTAAATAGCCTGTAATATAATTTCTGAATAAATATCGAGTATTTGCTTCATATTAATATGATTGATTTTAATATTTGATAGAACATTTGACTTGGAGTTGACTTTTGCAGTCCATTTATTGAAGCATTTCTATTTATGTATAGATTTTTAAATGACTCATAAGTGTTCTGTTCTTGTATTAGCATGCTGTTAATTCAAGTTATAAATCAATTCTGGAAGTTAGAATAAATGGATTAAAGTAATAAGAATGGTTTAGCTCTGTTTGAATACTCATGTATGTATGTTTTTATACATATGTGTGTATATGTACTCTCACTGTTAGGCAGACTTTCTTATAGTGTTTTCTTAATTGATTTATATAACCAAATGGTGAATATCCCTCTGTATATTTCTTATATATTTATTAAAGTATCATTTTATGTTATAAATAATCTCATTCAAGAACCAATATCTTAGTTTCCATATTCAGTTTTTTCAGAGCAAATACAGTGAAATTGGTGGTTCTCTTTGTAAGTATTACAAAAATGTTAGTAATTCTGAATTATAAATAATTATACATTTTGAAAGTTTGATAGAGTGAAATTATTTTTAAGTATAAAATTTTAGATTTAACCTGTTTAAAATTTGTGTGTTAACTAGTTTTGGTCCTTTTTGGTTACCAAAAAAGTCTTGTTAAATGTAGTTATTAAAAAGCTAGGAAACAAACAAAAGTAGGTTCTAGTTTCCAAAGCAAAAGAAAAATAGCTGTTTGTATTACAAAATGTTTATATCTCTAGCATTTGAGTATCTTGGAAATTAATTTTGTGAAAAAATACATACATAAAGAAAAAAATATATAAGAAAACAAAGTGGATCTTCCAAAAGTTGTATTTGAGGGAGCGAGGTAACTGGTTATAACAGCTGTGGGCAAACTACGGCCCGTTTGAAATGAATAAAACTAAAAAAAAAAAAAAAGACCGTACCCTTTTATGTAATGATGTTTACTTTGAATTTATATTAGTTCACACAAACACTCCATCCATGCTTTTGTTCTGGCCCTCCGGTCCAGTTTAAGAACCCATTGTGGCCCTTGAGTCAAAGTTTGCCCACCCCTGGGTTATAAGATACAGATTCTGAAAGTCATAGTATTATTAGCTACTGACCATGGTTTTTTGGTAATTAGTACTTTGTAATTTCAGTAACTACAGTGACCAAAGCAGAACATATTTTAAGACATTGATTTTTGTTAACTTCTTAGATCACATACTTGAAACATTAGCCATACTTATACATATTTTACATTATTTTTTCTGTATCACTTTTGATGTAGACCAATATTTCAATATGGACATTGGCAAATTACTTATGATTTGGCAGAGAGAATCCAAAAATGTCATTGTAGTCATCCTTACAACTTCTTTTCCTTCCACATTTATTAGTAAACACTTCATTTTCTTTGAACTTCAGCTACTTTTCTTCCTTCTTACTCTTTTGAAATTGAAATTATTTATATTTGTCTATTCATACCTTTCTCTTGACTTAGACCAATAGTTTCTTTAGTAGTCTTTAGCAATTGTAAAACATCATTTTTAAGATAGCTAGCTATTTAAGATAATGATTTAAGATAGCTGTATAATATCATCTTTAAGGTAGTACATTGCTTCTAACACAATGGTCTTTAGGGTGATGTTTTTTTCCTATAAAATTTTTTTCACTATATGATTTTATCTTGATGCCTCTTACAGAAATCAGAATATTTTCTGTTCTCCTCTTACCTTCCTAAATGTGTACTCATCTTTCCAACATAAATATATATTCACTTAAAAAGAGTCCTAATGATTTGATAATATGATTAATTATGTGTTCATAATTAGAAGACATGATTCTAGTTTTTATTTCTTAAAGACCTCTTAAAAAGTTTAGCTACTCTTTTGTGTTTGTTATTTTAGAGGGAGATTACTTCTGGGAGATAATAATTAAATAAAATTTAAGTATTTTATTATATATAGATAAACTTTTTTCAAAGGGGAGTTTTTTGTTATCTTACCAGAGTCCTGAATCTGCAGTTCTGTCCGTTAAAACTGCCTATTTAGGTTAGGACTGCCATTGGGATTTGATTGCAAGCTTTCACCCTTTACTGGGAGAGAGAGGACAATGATTGATACCCTCTGCCCTTCTCCCCCTCAAAGTAGAGACTTAGCTTTCAATCTGAGGATTTCTTGCTGAAGGTACTAACTTCCTCAGAAATCCAGTCTTGATGGATAGACTTTTGGTGTTTATAACATCTGGTTTGTATCTTAGAACTGAATGGGTAGTGACCCATTTCACTGCTCCATATTAGATTCAATTCATGTGAACAAATATTTGGTTTACTAGGCTATAGGCAAGCTTTCCAGTGCCTGGACCTTAGATTCACTGATCATATCTTCCAGTATTTTAAGAAATGGAAAAGTTAATTAGGCATATTTGAGAAGCATTTTATTTTTCATCATCTTGGAATTTTGGTAATAGTAATTTCAAAATTGTTAGCATCAAAACATAAACATATACTAAAGCATATTTGCCAGTGTTCTGTATTAGTTAATGGATGTCCCATTTTGCAATTTTATCATTATTGCTGTTGTTTGTGAACTTCATGAATTTTTCAGTTGTAAAGCCTTAACTTTTCTCTCTGTCCCTATTTTATTAAAAGGCATATCTCTTAACTATCATATTCATCAGAGAATTGAATGTAATGAAATTGATTCTCGCCCTAGTAGGTACATAACACGCTTTTGGGAATTAAAATTTTAAATTTAATCCCTTATATTCCATCATTAGGGTTTTTTTATTGTTGTAATTCAACCAGTATCTTCATTTTGAACATTTTATTTAGTAACGTCTTCTACATTTATAACTTTATCTCTTTCTATATGAAATTTCTTGGTCAGTTTCACTGAATTATTTTCTTCTAAAGTGGGATCATTATTTTCCTTCTCTTTGAATCCCTCATGTCAATATATACATTTCATATGTTTGTTCAAAAATGTGCTTTGAGATTTTAATATTAAAACATACATTGGAACCTCAATGCCACATAATTTATTAATGATTGGAATTCTATTTAAGGTAAGCTGTCCTAGACTTCATCCAAGAGCATTAAAATTCTCACATAACATGTATACCATATTATTTAAAGAGATTATTTAAAGAATTGTTGGTATGTCTTTGTTATACGAGGTAAGGCAGAGTAGTCAATGAGAAAGAGCCTAGGATTATAAAGTTAGAGGCAAGCTTTTAACCTTCTTCATGTCTGTTTCTTCATCTTTAGGGAGTTATATCTTGATTATCAGTATTTATGGAAAAGATTTGTTACTTCATCTCTGCTTGGTTTAGAAATATATTGTGTGATTTTTCTTTGCACCAGAATTAAAATACTAATTGTTTATCTTAACTTCTAAGGTAGTTCATCTGCCTCTGAGCTTACACCAAAGTCAGTGGAGGCTGTTGATGTGGTAGCCTTGTAGTTGTCAGGGGGAAGCCAACTTAGCATTAATCACTGGTTGTGGATAAGTCTAGAGAGTGGCTAATTGATATGCAGATAATTGAAAGTTGATTATACATGCATATGCCTGTCTTTTAGCTATAGTTGCAGCAGAATGTAATAATGTTTATGAAGGACTTAAATATTGTGTAAAAAGATTCTTTATTAATTAAATTTTGCTGCTGCCACTGCAATATTTGTATATCATCTATGATTACTATCATTTTTCAGATGACTGTTCATCTGATTACTCCAGGTGCTTTTTCACATTACTTGTTTTGTTGAAACATAATTTTAAAACCACACAAAATATATTAGTTAATTCCCTAGTTAAACTACCATTTACATTTCTCCTGAAGGATATTAATCCAGTTTATTGAACACAAATGTGTTTTACCAGAATAAGAAAATAAGGTAAGGTAATGAGTTAGAATCATTAATTTATTTGCCTGATTCAGATGAGTTAAAGTTGCCCTATGTATTTATTAATGTATTATGAACACATTATTTGAATGCATTTGCAGAATACAGAATTTAGTGTAAACAAGTGTCCGAGTCATAGTGATTGTTCTAATAATGGTCTACTAGTAAACATTGATTCTGAATGAAAATCTTGAAAATAAAGCATCCTAGTTTAAAGTATTAAAGAAATTAAAAGCTTTTCTTTTTAAAAATTTGTTCTTAAATGACCTACTTTGTTAACCTTTTATTAATCTTTTATGCACTTTAAATTAATTAAAAATATGCAAACTATTTTTTTCTTTAGTTTGTAGTATCTTCTTTATCAAATACCCAGAATACTGATGATTTAAAATGTCTTTAAGTTTAGTTATGGAAATAGTTAAGTTACAACCAACTCTTGATTATGACAATGGTAGGAGAAATATAGTGGATATCGGGAAAAACAGGTGTATATCAAATTTAAAATTTTATGAAAATTTTCACAATAGATTTACTTAAAAATATATAAAAATATAAAATTATGAAATGCTCAATGATTATCAGCTAAGTAGCAACTGGTGAAGATGGTGTAGAAACATATGAGGAGATCAGAGAAAAATAAATGGGGGTTAAAAGTTTTCTATTAATAAAGTGTATGTATTATTGAGAGTTGACTATAAGATTAGCTTTGGACAAATGAGTTTGGTATTTTACAAGGTTTATTTAATGTAGTCTATTTACTTCTCTTTAATTAAAAAATTACAGTGTTTAGCTCTAAGTAACAGTTCGTTTTAAATGTAACTGGGAAATAATAGTGTCCTTTTTTCCTTTTTCTTTCATTTTCTTTGTCTCTTTCTCTCCCCCTCTCACTTACTTTTAGGGTATGAGTATTATAGAACAATTAGATCCTGTATCTTTTAGTAATTACTTGAAGAAATACCATAATACTATATGTGGAAGACATCCCATCGGAGTGTTATTAAATGTGAGTATCCTTAAGAAGCCTTGATTTTTAATATTTGATCCTATGATGTTTTAAAATATCTTCAATTCTTAAGGTAACTTAGTAGCATAGGTTTTCGGTCCATATAGTCAATTTTCTTTTAGTACATTTAAGATAATTTGGATTTCCATTGTTTTGGTACCTGAATAAAGTTATATGTCACTGGAAGACAGGCTGATATTTTCTTTTAAATGCAGAAAGTTATTTAGAATGCAGACCCATTTTCTCTAGATTCTCAGCCAATTCCAGTATGCTCTTTATAAATATAAACCAAAGTAACCTTTCAAGAGATGTTCTTATTGATTTCTTGGTTTTATTTAGTGTCCTAGACTATATAAAAATAAATAGAAGATTTTGCTCTTGAACTTTAGAAATGTGTAAGTTAATAAAGCAAGACAGATGACATGTATATATTTTTCTCTTTACAAGAAAAACAGTAGTAATTCATTTAAGGAATGGAGGTAATAGGTGGAAATCTTTTTTCTAAAATATGGAATGCTTCACGAATTTGCGTGTCATCCTTGTGCAGGGGCCATGCTAATTAATCTTCTCTGTATTGTTCCAATTTTAGAATATGGGCTGCCGAAGTGAGCACCAGAAGTCTTGGTTAGCTGGAAATTTGAAAGAGAGAATAACTTTAATATTTTCCCTAATAAAACAGTATGGATTTCCTGAAATAAAATGCAAGACTTTTTAAGAAAGAAGGGAGTGTATACTCAGGAATGGGAGGAGGAGGAAGTAATAATAGGCTCAATTAAAATAAAAATCCTGGTATACCTCTTGAAACTTAATTTATATACATTTTAACCTTAGCCAGAGTCAGACAAAGAAAAGACTGCAACAATTCAAGATAGTAGAGTAGCTAAGATTTGGTTTAGAGAAAAGAGAGAAAGATGCTATGAATTAATTTGTTTTTGTTTTTAAGTGGTCTTATCAAAGAAGTACTTTGATAGAATTAAATAAGGAATTATCATTTATTCCTATTTAACATGAGTTGAAGAGAAATTAAAGAAACAAGTGACGAGTGAAAGAGATCTAGGCACCAGCTGTGAAGTGGGCCAAGTTAAGCCACCAACGCATTCAAAGAGTGCTAATCACATCTTTCTTTTTTAGGCTATTACAGAGCTCCAGAAGAATGGAATGAATATGAGCTTTTCCTTTTTGAATTATGCTCAGTCAAGCCAGTGCAGAAACTGGCAAGACAGTTCAGTGAGTTACGCTGCTGGAGCACTCACGGTCCACTGACGCTCTGAATCCTCAGGGATGCCACCTGCACATACTCATACTCTGTTCGGGGTCCCAGCCTAGCCCTTACCAAGACCCAGATCCTGGTTTGGGGGGATTCTGAAACCTCAAACAAATAGAACTTTCTTCTCTTCTTTTCTAGTAGGTGTAGTCCTTCCTTAATTTCAACTCATTAAAAAATGCTTTATAGTTTAGGGCAGTGGAAGGAAGGCTGGCATCAAATATTTTGATCAAAGAAGATGGCAATGTAATGGCCCAGTTGTGGCAGTGTTTTGAAAGTAACTTGTAAAGCATTTACCATATCCTAAATTTGCACTCTTTGCAGACTTGTGCACATATATTCCGCTTTCAGAATAGTTTTGCAAATTGTACACAGACAAAAAAGGTGGAAGCTTTTTAATAAAGAAATTGCATTTATAAATGATCTGTATTAGAATATAATAATTCTCCAGTTATAGTCAATTACTACCCGTGTTGTACAACAGATACCTTCTATTTTAGTTGCTAATAAAGGGCTACACAACTCAAAATAGTCTGATTTAAACTTATTGCTCTGTGGTATATATGAAAATTGTTTTTTATTAATTCATCTCAATTTTTATGTTAAAAGTGGTAAACTTCAGTTCTTATATAAAAATATGTTAGAATGTATTTTATATTTTGCATATATATGTGATTTTTTATCACAGATATTAGAATCATATTTTAGTGCTAGCTTTTTAAATTACATAGTTTTTTTTGTGTGTGTGACATCACTTTGTGTCATTACTATATTGTATATTCAAGATTGATAAAAGAACATAGATGTAGTCCTTTCCTCTAAAGATAGTGTTTGATAGGCAGTAGTCTGCAAATGAGGAAACATTGAAGAGTATTCTTAGAGTTTTTTAAATCATTGCAGACCATAGACTGCTGCTATGCTTTTTAAGTGCTTTAAGCACTTTGACTTGAATTTTTAGCAAGACATCATTAACAATAACAACAAAAAGCCACTGGATTTTTTTATAGTTCTAAAATATTTTTTCATGACTTTTGGTGCGGCTCTTCCAACTAAAATAATGGTATGGTGTTGTATTTCTTTCTTTAGCATAGACCAATTCTAGTGACATTGGAAAAAAATGTATTCAGTTAGGTAATTATTGGCCACCATGCATGTACTAGATTATACCTATTTTAATCTAACAGTGGGTATCTTCATTACATTGGAGAACATTTATATCTTCAATGATATACCAGAATAGCACAATTTTTAGATGCCTTGCACCAATTTTATTTAAAAATTGCATTTCTTATTTACTAAATATCAACTTTCTATACACTAAAATTGAGATAAAATAATGCTGCTTTTGGATTCAAAATTACCCACCTAAACATATGTGGAAATTATACTCTAACATATTACTGATTTATTTCCCATAATTTAGATACATTTTTAAGTGCTATAAATATTTATTCCTTATTTACTATATAGAATGTAAAATTTTCAAAATTGACTATGAATGAATTTTTAATGTTTTCTGAGTATAAAACTAATACATGACTATTATGGAAAATTTAGAAAATACTGAAAAGTATAAAGAAGAGAAAAAATTGTCTGCAATTTCACTATCCAGAGATAATACTGTTAATTTTTTTTGTATTTTCTTTGTCTTTGTCTATGCTATTTATATGTATGAGTGTGTACATGTGATTGTGTGTGTGCATAATAACAATATTGAGATTATACTGACCATATAGTTGTATCCTACTTTTATAACTTAAGATTATAAGTCCTTCCCCATATCTTTAAAAATGTGATTTTTAAAAAATGACTGCCTAATTTTCTGTTATATGAATATACCATAATTGAACCCATTCTCTCCTTGAATATTAGATTGTTTCTAATATTTCAAAATTATAAATAATAGCAGATGGACATCTTTGTATGTGAAATTTGAACTCTGTATTAGACTAGTTCTTTAGGGTATATTCATGGAAATGGGATAATTGGTTTAGATGCTGAGAACTTTTTAGGCTCTTTAAAATGTGACCAAATTACCCTTCAGAAAGTTTGTGCCAAATTAGCAATATAGGAATACTCATACTGCTCTTCTTGACTATTGATTTTTATTTTTTAAATCTTTGACAGTTTGTTAAGCAAATATTTGTTTGTTCTTTTGATCATTCTAATTAATGAATGGCTTTACAATGAATCAGTTTTTTCCTTCTGTAATGTTATAGTTGATTGTTTAATAAAAAACACAAGAGGGTTGCTAGGTTGAGTGGGCAGTAGCCTTATTAGTATGTTTACTGTACATTTAAAACTCTAGAATATTTCAACATCATCCCTTTCCTAGAATATGAGCTTGTCTTTCATGCTCAGTCATTAACTAGAAAGAGTCCCAAGCTGATAGTTGAGTGTTGGGTTCTAGCTCTGCCCCTGCTACCAATTAATTCTCTCACCATAGATATTTCATGTTGTATCAAAACTTTCTCACCTGTAAAACGTAGAAGTAATCTCTTAAGCACTTTCCAGTTTCAAAGTACTTTAATGTGATTTTACTCTTTAGAGATTCTGGTGTCACATATGTTTAAAGCTACATGATTGAATTAGATTAGAAGTATTATTTTTTTTCTTCTAACTCTACATACATGAAAATTGAAAGTCATTTTTAATAGAAAAGGAAAATTAATATGTATTATTTAATGTGGTTAAGATTACCTAAATTGTTGAACTTAAGCTTTTCTACTTTAAGTGCCTTTAGCAGTGTTTTGTATTTGCAAATCTAAAATGTAAATGAAATTATTATGTAGTTTTATATAGTTTCTTCTTTATTTTTACTTTGAGTTATTTGCAACTTTTTTTTTAAACCTTAGATTACACAGAGCAGTGTATTCATGGATTCTTCACTATTTCACTAGTGAGTTCTTGAGAAATGTATGTTAAAGATTAGCTCAGTGAGCAGGTAAGTAAATTCTTCATTTTGGGTGGGCAACAAGTCTTTATACAGAGTAGGATAAAGGACTATTCAGATAGTCCAGTGTTTATATTTAGATATCTTAATATGAAAGGTACAGGCACCCGGAGTTGATTAATGGTTATTGTTGTAGGTCTCAAAAATTTTCTTTGGTAGCAAATAGTTCATTACCCTAGAGTAGAGAGAGGTTGGCAAATGCTTTTGGTAAAGGGTTACATAGTAAATATTTTGGTTTTGCAGGCCAGATGATCTCTGTTTTATTTATTTACCTTTGTTATTGTAGTACAAAAGCAGCCATAGACAATGTGTTCCACTAAACCCAAAAGACACTGAGCTGGATTTGGTCCATGGCTGGTAGTTTGCTGTCCCCTGCCCTAGATGGTGTAGTTCACTTGTAGTTCAAATTATTGGCTAGTAATTTAAACTGCAACAAATGGTTGTATCATCCCAACCCTCTCTTAATTTGATGTAGTTTAGTTTCTGGATTTGAGTGTTATTTAGGATTATAAAGGTAAGTGGGAAGTGGGTAAGGGAAAATAGGAACTCGTGTTAAAAACACTTTGAAGCCCTTTTATTTGCTGGAGCCCACTGGAGGTTTGCTTAGCTGCCATAAATTGTGTCATGAGTGGGGATTGTGATTGGTTGTTGCAAATTATATAAATTTTTCAAGCACTTAACTACCTAGATGGTAGTAAAGAATGGATTAAAAAAAAAAAAGAAAGAATGGATCAGATGGACCTTTTTACCTGAGTATTTTAGGACACTAGACCAATAATTTAAGAGAGATTGTGAAATGTGAGACTTTGTTTTTGCCATGTAAAGACTTCTGTCACCATCACTTTACACCTTTCCCTTTCCCCAATATTTAGGAAGGACGTAAACTCAGAATTAAAGTTATTTAACCTGAAAAAATTTAAGTCTATGGAAGAATTATTACACTGTTCTTTTCTCATTTACTCTAGATCACTGAAAACTTCAAGTATCAGTCCATAGATTGGCAGTTGGGAAGTGCGGTGATATAGTTGCTGAAAGACCTAATGTAGTTATAAAACTATTATTGATTCGGAGATGTAATAAACCAAATGTACTTTGATATTTAGACTAAAACGTTTACATTATTTGTTAAATTGTATGTGCCACATGTTTAGAGGGACATTATGAGTTAAATGTTCACAGGGAGGCAACCAGAAAGCGAAAGGCCTGAGTGGTGTGGTAAGTGGGATGCAGTCCAAGAAATTGGCGATGTTTATTTTGGAGAAGATTTGAGTGACTGCCATATGTAAGAAGGAATAGGATTACTCTGTGTTGTTATTGATAAAATTAATTGTAAGAAATGAAAGTTTCTGGTTCCATATTTAATGTTCCTTATGAGGATTTCTAAATGAAAAGTGGCTGGCTTTGTCCTCATAAAATCATTGAAAGTATTCAAACAAAAGCTAGGTCGGGGTTCTAAAGTAGAATCCCTGTACTCTCGGCATCAGCATCACCTGGGTATATTGTGGTATAGATCTAAAATTATGGGTCACCAAGCTGAAAAAAGCTAATAGAATTAGTACAAAAAAAATGAAACATTTTTCATTTGTATAAAACTCTTAAGGGAAGTCATTTTTAAGTAAAAATTGATTTTGATAATTTAACACTAACTTTTAACACATTATAACTTGATAAGATGATTGTTAATTATTAGTGGTGGAACATTGGACACTTAGGATAATTAATGTACTTTTGTTTAGTTATAACATTTAAATATAAGGTAGAGTTCTCCCATTTACTAAAATAATTTAAGTGGTCTTTGAATAAATGACCTATCTTTATTAAACACAGATGCTTTTTGAATCTAAAACAGCCATATCATTAGCAGAAAAAAAAGGGTATTGAGGGAGCTTGTTCTTTTTCATACCTATTAATATCAAAATGGTAGGGGAATGAGCAGCAGCTGGTGGATAACTTTTTCTCTACGCTCTTCCTCTCCTCCTACCTGCAGATAGAGTTGCATGGCATGTCACAGTGGCGTCATCTGGTAAAGTTGCCCTCGAGCAATGCTGGCAACTGGGACCTCTGCCTTTTGCTAGTCATTCTTGTGGATGGATTTAGTTAGCTTATCATGAGTTAGACTCTGTCATTGATAGAGTCTGCTTGTTGGGTACTATGTGAAGAATTTTAGGGTTTTGGGCCTGACATTTGTCCACGGGTTCTACAGTGATCCCAGAGTGGTTTGTACCCACATTTATTCTGTGTGTGTGTGTATGTGTGTGTTTAATTCTAACGTAAACTTTTGGCCAATCATCCTATAAAAACAATGGAAAAAAATTAAATGCCAGTTCTGATTTTGAAAGCCATAATGTAATGCAATTGGTTTTTCATATAAATTGTAAATTATGTTCAAATACATATTTTATACTGAAAAGTAAGGTTTGTAACTTTACTAGATATACTAGGCATATTTTTTCTGTCCTAATATTAAACCTAATATTAAAACCAAAGAGAATATAAATACCATTATCGAGAAGCTATTGAAAGCCAAGTGTTTTAGACTATGACTATGACTGAGGTTCTGGTCTTTAAATCTGTCA